TTCATCTTGTTCTCCTGATGAGAAAGTTGTTTTTTTACGGGAAATGTGTAGCAGTTACTTTGGCTAGGGCTGAAATCTAGACCAGGTTTACGCTGAGTAAAGGGCCCAGCTATACTCTGCTATAAATCCTAAGCGTTATCTAAATTACATATACACATCACATAGAGGTTGAATATAGCAGCAAGAAATGCTTATTAAAAAAAAAAAAAAAGTATTTTAGAAAACACTAATGAAGTTAATTGAAGATTTAAAGTAGTGGTCATTTTCAAGACCTACACAGCTCTTCAAGGGATTACAAAATAACTTAAAACAGAAAAGTAGCAGCTGTGCCTAGGGAGTAAAAGGTTGTGACAGTAGTTTTTAAACTAGGGATATGGAAGCTTTGGCAAAGAAATATTTTGGCCAGAAGTTTTCAGCATGGATCTTTTTCCATTCATTATTTAAATCCTCATTTATTCAGATAGTCTCGAAGAGATAATAGGCCCTTATTTAAATATTAGCAGTAAGTCCAGCACGCAAACACATTGACTTAATCATTTTTAAGATTAGAATCGTCTCATTGCAGTCAGCAACATCTGGATTATAAAATACTGCTAATAGAATGGACAAAATTAATTTTAATGTTTCTATTAACAATGAATGTATAATGTAATAAATGCTAATCTAATAATGAGATTCTTGCACACTCAGCAGAGATTCTAAAAGCAAAGTATAACATTTATTTATTCAGCAAATGTATCCGATTATCTTCTCATCTAAGATAGCCCTCTAGGCTTGTCTGCCATTAATAAGATATAGGGATCTTAATTTAATCTAATTTTATCACTCATTTTATGAACAGGATTGATCACCTTTCTCCACCTACAAATCTGCAGAGTGATGACTAAACTCAGATAGCATTAATCTCACCTCCAAATTAATTTTAAAAAGTATCACAATTGCAAAGAAAATGGATGTAAAAAAGGATTAAAATTATAAAGATTAATGTATGGAAAAAGCAATCTCCAAAATGTATGCACAGCTTGCAGCTGATTGAAAAGCATTAAACACACGCAAATATACAGATAATTTTTGCTTATTTTTTAAACCTATGAAGCATAGACAACTACTATCAAGAAATATCAGTGACTTTTATTCCATTTTGCTTTTTATTTGAGGAGGGCACTTCTAAATAGAAACACTAAAAATACTCCTAAAGGTAGTTTTACCTGTAGCAGATTGCCCATTATAAATGTAACAATTTTAAATAGCTGAGCTGTACACATCAATGCAGAAATGTTTAAATAATTCACAATCCTTTGAAATCTTTATAGAACAAATGTAAGGCTTTAAACTATTGTTTGAAGCCATTGCCCTGACTTTCTCAACTCAACAGCAAAATCATTGTTTAAAAATGTCCTTTCATCATCCATGTGTATTCAAATAAGAAAAAGAAAGTACATACCTCATAAACAGAACCAGGAATTTAAAATTCCCATTAGTTTTTACAAAACTGATTTTTTTTAATAAATAGTGGCCACTGCAAAGTTGAAGGAATAGTATTGTCATAATACAATTTTCTTGAATACTCTTTTTTTGTTCGCTGCATACCTCTTTTGCTTCTTTTCATTTTATTATTACAAACACAGGAAAAGAAAGGTTGCCTTGAGTACATCATTTGAGCAGCAGTCAACTGTAATGGAGTACACTTTTTTTATCACTAAGAAAAATAAAATTTTGTAAAATCACACCATGCATAGATTTGCCTTATCTTCCCAGTAATTCTGGAATTTTTAAGCCAGTTTCCACAGAGAGCAGAGCTGTTAACAGTCCTGGAAAAAGACATTATACTCCTTAAGATTTAAAGGAAGTGAACAATCAAAGGCAAGAGATGGGTCTTGTAGGCATCCCCTGAGGTGAAGTACTCTTCTAGGAGTTAACCTCATATTAGACCTTAGAGTTCACTTTGGACTAAGGAACCATTTGAGGCTGATGTTGCACCTTATATGAAAATAGAAAATTTAACAAGGAGGAAAATAACGATAGGAAACTAGGATGTATTTTCTTCTACTTTTTGGTGCCTTTTTTTTTTTCTGGTTGGTTTTTTTTTGGCAAGGAGAAATGATTAACAGATTAACAGTCAATAGTCTGAAAATTACACACCAAAATATAGTATATAGTATCTACACTTTACTGTATTAGATGATGGAGCTGTTATACAATTTATCCTCATTCAACCTCTAGTCCTCAATTAAGTTAATAAAGCTTTAAAATTAGAAAAAGTCTTAGACACATTATCAGCTTTTTCAGAGTAAAAATGTTTCCATTCAGTCATTTTTTTTAGAACATGTGACACTGACCACAGTTTAATCCAAAATATCACATCAGTTAAGGTTTTTCATTGCCACAGGTAAACGAAACATGGATTTTCACACAGAATTTACAGCTGTATAATAGCAGAGAGCAACAAAAGTTACAGCCTGACATCATAGCAGTCTACATTGAGGTCAAAACAGCAGACTCCTTCTCAATATGACTCTTTCAAGAATATTACCACTTGGGTATTTTCTTGGCATCTGTAAACAGGTGTTTACAAAAAGCTATCACAAACATCATTAAGAAAAATGAAAATAACTGCACTTGACTAGAAAATTGAGTATTAGTTACACTTCTGATCACAAGATTTGCCAGGGGCTTTATGTAACCACCATTCAGGCCAGTCAACATTCCACATACTTCTGAGACTTTCAAATGTGTTTATACAGATTATGATGCCAGTGGTAACTACGATGAGTCACCTTGTTTTCACTAAAGTAGAACTAGCTGTTATAATCACTTAAATATAGATTTGGACAACACAGGTACTCTTTTTTTTGTCTTAGGGGCTTCTGGTGATACTAGAAAATTTCTTTGTTCCATGGAACTGTCACATGTCAGTCCGCAGTACCTTCAGAATTCAGTCTCTTAAGTCAAGGCACTTATTCCATGTCATCATGTCAGTTTGTTACAATGCAGTTCATTTAGGTTGATGATTTGGAATGTGGAAAAAGTCAGCGTCTTGATATCAGTACTGTGGTTATAAGGGAGGTAGTGTTCAAGATAGACACCTACATTTTAAAGAATGGAAGCATGTGTTTTCCTTCTTCCCAAGCAGAAGTTTCAGAAGTCTGAAAAGCATAATCTTCTGAGGCATAATCTACTTTTTTGAACTCAAAAACCCAGTTTAATCAGCTTATTAACTTACTTAAATTGAGGAAAGGAGAGTTTTACTTAACTGGAGAGCTTACCACTAGAAAAACTACAGGAGGACAGAAGCATGAGTGTATCAAACAAGATGGCAACAAATGGCATCTTACTAATTCTCCTTTTTCCCCCTCTCTAAAGCTGTCACTTTAAAATCTTTCTTATGTTTTTGATTGTAGGGGAACTGCCTACCTCAAAAAAACAATGTTATGTAAAAAATAACACATTACATGAGTGGGAATATGGCAGAATAGAAAAGTATTTTCTCCACGGTTCTTAAGTTTAAAAATAAATACAGTAAGAATTATAGAGTTGATATTTTCATTAAAAATAAGAATGTGCATACCCAAATTGTTGCACACCAAACCTATTTTCCATAAGATATGGACTCCCCACGTGTCATAGTAAGTCTTATCACAGTGAAATGTAGAAGTCTCATCAGAAAGAAAAACACAGTTGACTCACTTCAGCATCTTGACTCAGGAGGTTAGTCTTGAACCAAGTTTCCTGGTTGTCTCCTTTTAACCAGCTTTGATTTTCACATTTTGATTTGCAATGTGGAGCCATCATCTCTGAGTTTGCTAAATGAATTCCTTTCTGAGAATCTAAGAACACCTACAATGCACTCTAGCTACTAAATGGCATTCAGGACCCTTGGGCCCATTCAGTCTGAACTAGAATTAACCTGAAGTCAAACCCCTGAAACTCAGTGTGGGTAAAGTCTCCTAACCCATCTCATTTACTCTAGAACTCTCTCTATTGGTTCACACAACTAGTTAGCAATAACATTTTTTTCAGTCTTTAAGCAATGCTATTTCTTCAGCAATATTACCACAGCAATTTAGAAGTTGTACATAAAAGTTAAAAAGTTGAATTAGTTTGTGTCTATGCTTAAGTTAACAACTTTTTCATGGATTACTACTCGTAATTAAAAATAATTCCAAGGGAAAAAAAAAGTTCAGATCTATTACTTGCTAGGTAGCACACTTGGTTAATGAACTGACCTTTTCATTTAAAAAAAAAAAAAATTTGGATTAAAAAAATTAATCAAGTCCAAAAGTGAGGACATATGACAAATTTACCAGGTTTGATTACTGTCCATAATCTTAAATCACCTCAATTTACCATAGCTAATATTCTACCTTCACAGGAAGTGAAGACAAGGTGCAGCAGAACATGACAGTGAGACTGCCTGTATACAGGCAGAACACCAGCCAGTTTCCTTCTCCATATGACTACAATTGCACATTTGTATAGACACTATTTTATACATGCAATATGAAAGACTGAGAAAAGACAGCAGTAAGAAAAGCATGCAGCAACCGTAACTACTCATGACCACTGCTCTCTATTCACATTTTACAAAAACTATTCATTGAAGGCATCATACAAGATAGTTTTCTACTTTAAACGAAAGGAAAGAAACGAGAACAGGTTCAGATTTTGACCACTGCTACTGTACAGGATGAAATCCACATTCCT